GCCGACATCGTATCAGCTGGTGCGCGTGCCCGGATTTGGTTGTCAAAGGATTACACCGAGTTGTCTATATTAAAGGTCTAAGGGTGTGATTGCTACTAACTTTCTTATCCAAGAGGTTATGTCTGGAAGAGGAAGCGCACGAGGACGCACTAGCGGACGTGATATCACGTCTCGTCAATCGCGTCGAGTACAAGGTCTTCAGCCTGAAGAGCACAAGGACCTGGATGCTGTCATCCAGGATGCTCGGAAGGCAGGTGCTGCGAAGCGGAAGGCCGCCCAAGAAGAGAAGGAGTCGTCGACAAGTCGAGAGGAACCATCGCCGGAGCCGGCTGTCCAGGGCGCGCACTAAACTGCCCAGGATGCTGACATCGAAGTTGGTCCGCGTCAAGAGGAGTCGTCGACTCTGACACGTTTACCCAGTTCCGAAGGGAGCATGGATGAGGGTGTGTCTATCGTGGATGCACCCGCCCAGGCGTCTGTGGGAGACGCCGTCAAGGCTGAGCCACCGACTGAGGATCGAGTTTCGGACACTCCTCAGCCGGTCATCGATGTGGAGAGTCTGGATGAGACGGTCACAATCAAGGAAGAAGGTCCGTTGTCGACAGTACAGGAAGAAACGGTACTCGAAGAGAAGGCCGCACCTCAGGCTCCGACACCTCCGTCTTCAATGTCAGGGTCGGTCATCCAGGACGAACCATCCAGGACGTCTGTTGTCCTGGATGTGGGTTCCCCGACTTCGAGTGTGGACTCTGAATCATGAGAAACCCAGATGAACGAGGCTCAGGCGAAAGCATACGTCTCGGGCCAAGTACGACGATGGGAACGTGAGCTGGGCGAACGAGTGTTGCCACCCCGAGCGCGATACACCTGGCCAAACACTGGTCGAGACTTCAAGCCGTGGTGGGCTGCCATGATCGCGACGTCACGTCACCTTGAACGGCGAACGACATCGGCAGCCCTGGATGAAGCGTGGATCTCGGATTTACAACTTGTCCGCTCTGAGCTGCCTACCGCTCAGGACGTCACGCCGATCGTGATTCCGCCGAGCATGCTGTCACCGCGAGACTGCATCGCACTCATCCAGACACTACTGGTTGAGACTGATTTCAGCTTCCGGAATGTGATTCCTGAATGGTTCCGCTCACGGTCGTCGCAGATCGCACCGAGCGCTGTCAGGATGGCGGTCGAAGGTGTCCAACATCTTCTAGCAACGGAGCTCATCGAATGGCGCCAAGTTGCGTTGGGGGTGACGTTCCAAGTGACGAGCATCCAGGATGAGCCATTGACCATCCAGGATTATCACGCGGAAGACGCTGACGGAGACCTACTCATGACAGATCACGAAGCCGACCTTCTGGGTCGAGAATTCGTCTTGCGACTCAGGATGTCTAGATTGAGAGGGCTGAGAAGTCCGCGAGGATCCCCAAGTAGTGAACCAGGCCCCAAGAGGTCACAACATGTGCCGCCTCGCCCGGTGTCTCTATCCACACCATCGCTGAGCTCGTTTCCGTCGTATCATTCATCAGATACGAACAACCAGAGTGTGGTCACCCTGAACGAGACTATGTCCTCCATTCAGAATGTGTCATCACGAGCAGGATCGAACCTTGTCCCAATTCTGTTCGGCACATCAGGAGGGTCCATCGAGTCTACGCGCAGCGGTACATCAGGATCGAAGTCGTCCCAAGATGAGTCATCGTCTTCGTCCGTGTGGTCCCTTGGGCAACCAGCAGCCGGTCACATGCCATACAGGGCGTATGCTCCTGTGGTGATAACCGCCCAGGGTGGAGCCGTCCAGGCGAACACTCAGATGGGCATGCAAGTGGTCCAAACAGTTCTCCCTCTGCGCTAGTGATGGCCGAACTCGATGATGTCGTTATGTCAGAGTCGGGCGAGGTTACCATCCAGAGGGAACCCAGGTCGAGACATTCCAGGACGCGACGATCTCAACGCCGAAAAGACAACAGTCCTGAAAGATCGTCCAGCGGCTCTAACTCTAGAAGTAGTCGTCCACGACGTAAAGGTACCAGGAGCCATCAGTCATCCAAGAAGACGTCGAGCCGTAGGACGCATTCAGAGCGTTCCAGTCGATCGGGTCGATCCTCCATGTCTGGGGCGTCCCAAGTCGCATTGAATACGATACGCCAGACTCAGGAAGCTTTGGCCCGCATCCAGTCAGAACTCGCCCAGAACTCGCCCAGAGGCGCCAAACTGACGAAGCGATTCTGGCTGCTCACGCTGAGGCTGCCATCGAGGCCGAACGATTTCGCGCAGCGAAAGAGACTGAAGAGCGACTCAAGGCGCAGCAGTTTCAGACCGATGCTGACTTCACTGAACGCCTCAGGGTCCAACGGATGCAAGACGAGTCCGAGCGTGCGCGCTGGGTGGATGACGTCAAAAAGAACCCGAACATGCAGATAGCGATCCTCCAGCAGCAAATGCGCGAGATGGAAGCTGAACGTGATCGAGAACGGGAAGCGGCGAAGAGTATCCAGAAGTTTCAAGTCAGTCAGTTGCGCGACATTCGCGCAACCTCCGCCCAATTCAACATGCGACAGTGACCCCTGTCCCAGATGCAGTGTCTCAGGTCAAAACAGAATCGGGAATTGCGAACTTTCAGCAAAACGCAAGGAGTCGTGATCCAGACAATGTCGTCGTCACGAAGGAGAAGCCCAGCGACAAGGAGGCCGCGGCCGCTCGTGCAGACGCTCTCCTGGCCGCACAACTCCAGGCTACCATCCTGAGTGTGAACGCGGCGAAGCAGAGGGCGAAGACCGCGACTGCCGCGTCCACAGCAGTAAAAACTGAAGTGGGAACCAAGGTGACGAAGGCTCCCCCGCCCAAGTCATCGGACGATCCCAGGGTGAAAGCCAAGAAGGCTACACCCAAAACGCGTGCGTCCAAGAAGGTTCGCCGTGGCGGATACCCGTCCGACTCGGGCCCGAGCTCAGAAGACGACGGCAGCGATTCCAGCTCTGACGACTCGGACAGTTCATTCTGTGAGCCGCTCAGCGATATGGTGGTCCCCAAAGCCACCCAGGGCGGCACCACCACGATGATTATCCGACCATTCGTGACTGCGAGCTCTCTGGCCGATTTCAACGAGAAAGCTTCTCTCTCGGAACGTACGCGTTGGTGGGAACGTTTTCAAACGTTGGCCTTCCAGGGTGGATGGAGCGACAAGATGAAAGTTTATGAGCTCCGCCTCAAGCTGTCTTCTTCGGCAAGGAACTGGCGTTCCCAATTGTTTCCGCATGAGCCTCGTGACTGGACAAGGTTCTCCAAGGAGTTCAAAGTGAAATACTGTAAGTCCAAGATGTCCGACTCAGAGAAATACTACACCATGAAGCAATGGAAGGCAGAGACCCCCAGGATTTCTTGTATCGCCTGAATGCTGCGGCCTACCGTGCGGATATTCGCTACAAAAGTCGGAGCGGCGTCGCGAACAACACGTCAAGAGATTTAAACATCGGTTAGCAGATTCACAACTGAAAAGCATCCTGAAAAGTCAGAGATTCAAGAGTATGGATGATCTGGAGTATGTGTTGAAGCAGCAGGAAGACGACTGGGACGATGACTGTCAAAGCGTCTCGTCCACCAAAGTGCGAGACTTCAGGGCGGACAACCTTCGTCATGGGCGACTTAAGACTAAGTACCCAGGACGAGCATATGGCATTCAGAGAGGCGATGGGTCCGGCCCTGATGAACGACATGTGATGTTCGAGGATGAAGCTCCCGAGGATTCCCCGGCCCAGGAAAGCATCGAGCCTCGCGAGACACCTCCCGAAACCCAAGGCCCTGGTATGACTATGGAGGAACTGACACAGCACGTACTCAAAGTCATGGAGAATTCAGGATGGAACAAACCTGGGCATATGGCACACCAGGGTAAAGCCCGCCAGAGTAACGGCCACCCAGGATCGCCATCGCCGAGGTACGACAACCCTGATCGGGACATGCGTTGTAACAACTGCAATGGAATCGGACACCGGGCTGAGAATTGCTGGGCAGACCTGATCTGCGAAAACTGTCACAGCACTGGACATCCTACTCAGCTATGCAAGACCTTGCCGTGCAAGAAATGTGGCAAGTTCCACGACGGCTGTTGTGAAGATTGGGAGATGCTAGAGTCTATTGCACGGCTAGCTCGCCAGGGTATCGTGAAAGGCTTACCCACTCCAATGCTGGACCGACTCCTAGCTGTCAAGGCTGATCCTGGTGATGGGTCGTTAAACCACTAAGCCCGCTGGATGGGGATCCAGTACGCGACGGGCATAGTAAGACCCCAGGATTATGCGCCTTAGTATATGTCGGCCCTGAGTTGAGAACCAAGAACCAAGATAACCAACAATGCATGACTTCTATGTTTCAAGATCCCATGAGTTCAGGATTAGGCCCTTCTGGATTACTTCATTCAGACGGTACTTACCCAGAGTTCCCTGTGGAATTCCGGCTTCGGGGTGGAGAACGTTATGAGTGGTGGACAACTCACCAGCCAGGGAAGGAAAGACGTAGGATTGCTACGGTTCATGATGCTGTAAATGATGTAAGGACTCGGATACTCCTGGACACCGGAGCGTCATTGAGCATGATTAGCTTGGGTTTAGCGCGTAAACTCAAGCTCAAGCTCAATGGACAAAATCAAGTCAAGGTGTCTGGATTAGGAGGTATCCCTACTGAGATCACGGCGAGTGCAGAAGTCAAGATAACCCTGGGATCCAGGGTGGTCTATATCGTGGAATTGTGGATGGCCAATATTGGTGAAGGATTGGATGTGCTCCTGGGCATGGACTTCATGCTTCGCGCAGGGGTGAGAGTCTGCTTATCGTAAATGGCAGACTCTGATCCTGGAACACGCCCAGTGAGAACAAGACATGCTCAGGACCGAGCGACAAGAACAGGCGCTGCGAGAGTGAGAGCCCCCGTGCGTGCCAAGAGTGGAATATCGATGGCCAACCAGGATTATGCTAAGGCCCCAACCAGGATCTGCTGAAGTCAGAATGACTCAGTTGCAAGACCCCCGTGCTTCAAGGTGTTGAATCGCGGAGAGCTGGTAGACGCAGACGGAGGAGGACTTCCTGTCGACAACTAGGATGGACGCCGCTACACAAGTCAGTGGAAGTCAACCCGACGGTTACGAACGCGATCCTGGTGAAAGAGATACTCTGGATGATGACCGAGGTGGTACCTTTGCGGATACGCCTCCATAATGGACTATCGCATTCGAGGAACCCCAGGGCGGCGAGGCGTTTGCGGAGGTTCATCCTGAACATGGACGCTCCAGGATTCCCCCCAGAACCAGCGTCCTGCATACCGCTTAAGAAGTTGGAGATGGAGTACGAACGCTGTATGAGGGTTAGCGCAGAAGAGTTGGCCTGGGAGCCAGGTGTATATATACATGAAGGGAGCGAGATGCTGGCACAATTGCTGGACCAATTGGTCATGTTGCCAGAATTGAGTGAATTACACCCAGAATGTGATATCGATCAGGCCGACGTCGGAGTCCCAGGTGAGACCTCTCCTGAAGATGAATCCAGGATGCGTGCGATCCTAAAACGCCATAGAATGTTTTTCCTGGGAGATGGAAATGCCGCACCAGCTCCCGCCAGAGGTGTGGTATGCGACCTCGATGTTGGAGATGCTAAACCCATTGCATTACGGCCAAGGTCGATTGGACCACATGTAACCGTCGAGGTGTACGAACTCCTCAAGAAATTATTCGAGAACAACCTGATTGAACATTCAGAATCGCAATGGGCATCTCCGATCGTGATCGTGCTCAAGAAAAATGGGGTGGACATCAGGATGTGCATTGACTATCGACTTGTGAATAATTTCATCCAACTGTCTAGCTATCCGCTACCTCTCATAGACGACTTGCTAGTCGGCTTTGAGAAAGTACTCTGGTTTATGAGCCTGGATATGGCCAGCGGTTTCTGGGTGATCAAGATGATCGAAAGAACCAAGCTGATTTCAGCTTTGGTATGCCCATTTGGACATTTCCAGTGGATGCGAATGCCGTTTGGTTTAAAAAATGCACCTCTGATTTTACCAGCAAGTGATCAACAATTGCCTGTGGGGATTCGTGCGTCTGCCGCCAGAAGAGGATGCCGAAGTAGACCAAGAAGTTTTGGATTACCTTAATTTGGACCCCCAGGATGACGAACCTCCAGGATGTAGCACTCCAGGGTGTACCGGTTGTGAGGACGATTATGCTTCTCGATCGTCACCGACCCTGGCGGACCAAATGACAGTGTTCAAGAGGAACATCCACAGATGTCACCTGTCTTAGGGCGCAGCTCTTATATTGATGATATCGCACACGGCGCATCGGCTTGGGATGCATTGTGTGCTGACTTGGACGCCCTGTTGTACATACTACGGTATTGGAATATCTCAGTAATTTTGCCGAAGAGCGAGTTCGGGAAATTGTCTATTCCGTATTCGTCTCACGAGATTAGCGTTGAAGGAATCAGGGCAACACCGAAGATCGCTAAAGGAGTTAAGGATTTAACATTCCCAACGACAATGAAAGGGGTACAATCCTTCCTGGGCAGCCTGAATTACTACCACAAATTCATCGAAGACCACCCTGTGATTGCAGCCTCCCTGTATGAACTCTCGGATGACCAAGTGCGTTCAGGACGAGATCTATTCAGGGCAAAGAAGGCGTTTGAAATCCTGAAACACAAAATTGTGTCGACCCCAGTATTGAGGCATCCTGACAGGACCAAGCCGTTTGATATCATACCCCATGCAAACCAATGGGCTGCCTGTGCAGTCCTGGGTCAAGAACATGACAGCTTAATCCAGCCGGTGCGCTGCACGATGCGGAACTGAGATATCACATCGCGGAAAAGGAGGTCATCACCGTGCTGAGGGTACTGCAGGTGTTCAAAACGATCATCCAGGTTTGCCCTCTCATCGTGTATACCAGACAATCAGTTCTGAAGTGGATCATGAAATCCAAGACGGCGGACGGGAGGTGTGTGCCCTGGGGTGTTTTGCTTTCACAATGGAACCTGGACATCAAGAAGATCCAACAAAATGAAGACGGGCTAGCCGCCATCCTAGGTGCCGGCATCACACCTCGAGAGCATCTAGACGAGGTCGCCGAGGATCTCATCCCTGCCAAGGGGCGTGCGAAGCTACCACCGATAATTAGCGTGGAAATGTTGGAGGATACCTTTGAAGGCATCGTACTGAGTTTTGATGGTACCGCCAAGACATCTACTCGGCAGGGTAGCTGTGGATGCATTTTGTGGGAACTCCCTGGATGGAAAATCCTGGATGCACAGGGTTTCACGTCACTGTGAATGATGCCGAGTACTGTGAGCTTTTGAACGGTCTAACCATGGCGCAGGTCAGGGGCATTAGAGACCTGATCGCTGTGGGAGACTCACGCATTGTCATCCAGCAAGTACAGGGTCTGATCAACTGTAATCAGCCTAATTTACAAAGGCGATTGGCCAGTTGTGAAGCATTGAAAGCAAGGTTCGATTCGGTGAGACTGGTACACGTCAAACGGGACTTCAATCAGGCAGCGGATTTTCTGACTTCCAAGACATTGTTGCTCGGAAGATCCTGGGTTTTCCGGAAGATGGAGAACGTCAACACCTGGAACGAGTATCCAAGATTCAAGAGAAGTTGATGAAATCAGCCGAAGCTTGCCCATTCAGGATTGGTTGTCCTCCAGGATGAAGAAGGCTGTTCAGAGATCCCTGGATGCTTCTTTGCCCTGGATGCCATGGCAGCTCCACTGCTAAATGCGTCCAAAATCTTGGTTGCCGTAACGACAGACGTCATCGGGATCCCTCGATCCTCTCGAGTATCAACGAGAGAGGTGGCGGCAAATTAAGGTACACCAAGAACAAGACGAATATTTGTGCGATTTGAGAGATTTCCTGAACGGAGAAGTCGATCGGTTCACGTTACACCGGTTGCGGGAGATCGCCAAGGTCGCAGACCTGTTCGCCCTGGATGCCCGTGCGTATTGTACTGGTTAGCCCAGTCTACCCGAGGCAGACCCCAAGACGGGTGAATTACGACTGGTAGTACCAGTCACCCTGAGAGAAGATATTCTGCATTATGCTCATGAAGATTTTCAGGGTGGACACCAGGGCATCAAACGGACTCACGAAAAACTGCGCTATGAATTCTACTGGCCCGGGATGTATACAGACGTGGAACGGCACGTAAAAGAGTGTGTAGATTGCGCGAGCGGCAAGGGACATCCGTCTAACCCCGGTCCATCTCCTGGAAACATCGAACCAAGACGACCATTTGAAGTGGTCTCGATGGATTTCGTGACGCACATGCCGAAGTCAGAGCGAGGAAATACTTTCCTGCTCTTATTCCAAGATATGTTTTCAGGATTCGTGATGTGTAAACCGATGTCCTCCACGACGGCCCAGGATGTAGCCGAAGCATATGAGGAACGGGTGTTCAGGATGTTTGGCGCTTCAGAAATGATCCGCCACGATCAAGACCCGAGATTCATGAGTGAGGTCTTCACCCGATTCAGGGAGCTCCTGGGCAGCCGTCAAAGATCCACTCTGAGTTACCGGCCCCAGGCTAATGGACAACAGGAGCGTTCCGTCCAGACAGTCATTCGAAGGGTGCGGGCGTATGTCGCCGAGGCAGATCAGTCAGATTGGGACGACCA